ATGATATAATTTAAATTATAAAATAATAAGCTAAACATAAAATATATAATTATTAATCATTTATTGGTTTATCAAAATGTAAAATATTTGAAGAAAATAAACTCATTTAAAATTTTAAATGCTTTTTTGATGCAAAGTACAAACCTGTTAAAATTGAAAATAAGGTTTTATGGTAAATTTTTCTCATTAATTTTTATAAAAAAAATAAAAGTTGCTTTTAATTTTATCATCCATTTAAGTAAAATTATACACAAGTTATTAGTTTTAAAAATAAAATTAATTCTTTTTCAAAATAAATTAATAAAAAAATATAATTAATATATACTTAATCCCCACACTTACAAACCCTTATTATAAAATGTAAAATTAGAATCAATTTACACTAATATATACAGTACCCTTATATCAACCTCCACCAGACAAAGACCTACCTGGTGCCTAGGGACAGATTAAAAAAAAAAAAAGAAAAGAAAAAACTACTGCTGATGCCCTGTGCCCCCGACTTTGCCAGAGGGACCAATTTCTCATATTTGTTTTAAGTATTACACTATTCCAGCGTGACTATGCTTGATTGCTTGCTAAAAGCTAGTGGATATGTGAATGTCGGAGGTACCGGATCCTCCCGGGGGATGGCTGCAATGACACGGTGCGACGGCGACCTTGGAGGGGATGCGTATAGGAAAGAGGCCTCCAGCATTTCCCGCCGCAAACTCTCCTGTTTCTGAATCAGCCTATGTGCCCGCAATGCTGTTAAGTATAGACTAGCCGCTAGGAAAACTGTCATCAAAGCAAACACTCCGGCGGCCGAGAACATTCCTTCCCTTACGGTGAGGCAACTGGGTCTTGGCCTTGACCAGTATTTCAAATGGCCTGACTCCACGCTTACTCCAATCAACAACAACATTTCCCCAACAGCAAAACAAATCCTACACAAAATAAACAAACCATGACATGTCAAATTTTCTATAGGGTCCCCTACATCGGACTATTTTACAGAAGCCAATGGATAGGGCAAGTGCCTCTCAATATTAGGCAGTGGCGGAGCCAGGGGGGTGCGAGGGGGGCGCTCGCCCCTCCTGAAATTTGAAAATCTTGCAAATTGCTATATAAAAAATTATCTAACCTCTCCTGAACTTTGAAAATTTTAATATTTTGCCCCCCTAAAAAATTTTTTGCCTCCGCCATTGATATTAAGGTTATGCAGTCTAAACTATGCCGAACTACACCACTTCTTCAAATTCTAGATATGTATCTATGTATAATTTTATAAATTAATTTCTACCAAAAAAAAAAAATTTTATAAATTAATATCAAATTATGTATTGGGTTTTGTAAGGCCTGAGTTTGGAATGATATGCTCCATACTCTAGAAAAGAATGAAACGAACCAAGTTGTGACAAAGAAGAATCCTGCTTGCCAAGTGAAGGCCTTCGCAGGAGGAGAATCAGGGTCCCAGGAAGCCAGAGCAGGCGGTGTATTACTGATTGCAACCAACATATACACGTTCTCCACCACCATGGCAACTGACAGTCCCACAAACGCCACTGCAGAACACAACAGCGGCGTCTTCCCACTCTTACTGTACACGCACTCGTATATCTCCTCCTTCCCTTTGTCACCATTGCTTATCCAAACTTCCTGCAACCATCAAATTTTTTGAAGCTTAAAAACAAAATTCCGAGCCTGTGCAATATCTTGTTGTTAACTTGTTACATATTTGACCTGTATATATAACCGTGATATAAAAGGCTTTCTTTTTGGTACCTGGGAGCGGGTGGCTTCAGCAATGAGGCAAAGGATGAAGCAAAAGAGGCCACAGAGGATGGTGAATACCATGAGGACTGCTCCAGTTTTGCTTCCTAGCTCGGTGCTCCGGGGACTTGGAGCGAGGTCAGCGTGGGTGACAGCCAATGATTTGGGCATGGTGGTGGTGGAGGATGAAGGAGAATAAGAGATGGAAGAAGAAGAGGACTACCTGGGGGAAATTGAAATGTCATAAAAAACTATGGCTGTGGAAATTGAAGAATTGCTTGGGGCAAAAGTTGCTTTAGGGGCAAAGATTCCAGGGTTCTGGGCTTCAGTGTCAAGTATTCACAAAGGGGATTGCTGACTCAGAAATCTGGTTTTGGAGCTGTCCTGTATTATCAGAAAATAACATGTGGAAGAAGCCACACCGTAGAAAAGGGATTCTCTGTCTTCTTTGGCTCAAAAGGGTATTTTCAACTTCTTTCTAATTGTTTCTTTTCTTCTAATCTTGTTTGGTTCAAAGTAGATTCTTCTATATTACTGCATTTATACTTCGTATTGAGACCCATCAAAACCAGCACTAGATTGCTCTTGACCCCCAACTCCTAAGAAAAGAAAAGGAGACTAAGAACATGCTGAGATTCTGGCATGTTATTAGTTTGGACATTGATTGGTGCACACCCAGATCCCACACTCAGATGTGCACCCCCACATATAAAAAAAAAAGTTGGACCGGGTGATGAGCATTTTTTTTTTTTGTTTATATGATGTGTGCACACCTGGGTGTTGGATCCGGGTGTGCACGCATCATTTTCCTTTTTCAAAAGAGATAGAAAATGTGTT